AATAAGTGAAAACATAATAAAGGTTCCTCAGAATGTGTAAAATTTTGTAAGTTTCAGGTGATCATGTGATATCTGAAGTTTGTATCAACAGTAATTCACAGGCTGCTGAGAAGAACCCGAGTGAGGGGGAGACACGGTCAGGTATTTGCTTCCACAACACTAACCACATGCTACAGGCGGTGAATACCGCTCACACGGCCAGTTCCAGCGTCAGGTAATGTAAACAAAATTACCCTCTAGCCTGGACACCTGCATGTTATGGGAAGACTCTGCACTACTGTGCTGTTTCTATAACTCTCATTATTATGGTTCATTTTAATTATTTTTGCCTTCTCCTTTTTTAATGTCAGAATTACATAATTCTTAAAGTTTGTTAATATTTAAGCAACTGGCTCTTTACTGTGCTAATCTTTACATTGCTAATTTGTTTTCTGCTTCAAAACAGTTTGATCTATTTTTTAGTTTATTTTCTTCCATTTAGCTATTTTTATTTTTTCAAGTCCAAGACAGTGAATGCTCAGGGCTTGGTCTTTCTTTCTTCAGAAATAAGGACGTAGAATTCTTTCTATAATTCACCTCTCTTCAGGCTTCTATGTCATCATATTTTTTGCATACTTATATATTTGCTCAGTGACTCAAAAGCATTTTAATAATAAAATGGTAATTATTGCTTCATTCATTCAAAGATCATTTATTGTCTCAAACACGTTTATCATTTTTCTTTGCTAGTAATAGATTCTTCTTCATGTCTCACTTTTCACTGAAGCATTATTATTTTATTCAAGAATATGTTTTGCTCTCTTTTCCTATGGATTTTCTGTTAATATATCTGGCTTACTCTGCTTAATCTGTTCCCTCTTTTTTTCCTTAATATATGTTCAGGTAATTTTTGTCCTGATTAAACATTTTCTCTGATATTTTCGCAGGATGCAGAATTCGAGTCTGACACTTCAGTCCCTCAGGCTGTAGGATATCCACACCTTGATTCTATCTTTTATCATTCATGAGAGAATTAAGATTTCAATCTTCCTTTGTCTCAAATTAATGTAATATTATGTTTTATGTTTATAGTCTGTGCGTATGTGTGAATTCCATGTGTGTGCTTATTTTAAAAATTGTTTTCTACTACTAAGTGCTATTTTTGAAACTGTTATTATATTTTTATTTAATTCTAATAAATTAAACTTTATCTTCGCAAATATTCCTTCTCCACCACTTCTTTCATTCTAAACTCATGAGATTTCAGTTAAATAACTGGTAGACTTCCTGTGTCCCCATCAACTCTTCTGTTCTCTTCTAACTCTAATCCTCCCAAACCTAAGTTTTCTTCTGTTCTTTATTTCTGATTTACCTTCCAGTTCATTAACACTTTTATAGTCTTAGAGACTATTTAATTGGCTTTTGGTTCTTGTTTGTGGCATTTTTCACTTGTTTGTGGCATTTTTAACAGCTGTATTTACTTATTTTTACAATTAATACTGCTCCTGTAAATTTTTGTTCTATTCTCGTATTTAAAGTGATCCATGTGCACTTGTAGCTGGGTAATGCAAGGCCAAGGACGCGGGTGCCCAAGGCACTTGGATCTAAATCCACTGGGGTCCAGACCCAGACCTCCGTGCAGGGGCACGCGGGGCCTCCAGGGGGCGCACTGGACCCACCAGGTGGCGCTGGGTTCTACCAGGGGACACTGAGTTTCACCAGAGGCACCCAGAACCACCAGCTGATGCTGAGTCCACCAGGGGGTGCCCAGCGACAACAAGCATAGGGGCTCAGCCTCAAGAATATGTGTAGGGATGTCACAGAGGAGAGTCCCTGGTGGTAACAAGCTCCACTAGGGATCCTCCATTAAATCTTTTTTCATGATTGTCACTGCAGATCTGATGTCAAACACGTAATTGTGGGGACAGCACCTGAGCAGATCGTCACTTGTTATTGGAATCTCCCTGTGATGATACTGAGGTGAAGATTGCCTGAACTCCGGATCTCAAAACAGTTCTGAAATGGATATGATTATTTCAAAGTGAACTTATCCCCCTCAATTTGAGTGCAATGGAAGTTATCTTCTGGGTCTAATATCTCCACATATTTCTCTGCAAGTTCTCTTGCTCCGGGAACTTTCCCCCCTGGGCCCACCTGCTTTCTTCCCTCGACTGCATGATGTGAATTTCCCACCCTCCCTGGAGGAAAGCGAGAGGATCTGCACTGCTCACATCTAACTCTCCCGAGGCTTCTTGGAACACACAATGGGGAGGAAGCTCCTTCGGCAAGTCTCCCTTTCCTAACCGGCACCAATGAAGCACGGTTGGCTTAATCTGTATAATCTCAGGGAGACTGTACTTTGTACATTCACCTACCTTGCCACCCTTATTAATCAGATAGGAGATGCTATTAGGGAAAATTAATAAATATTCATGTGCATATGTCATTGGTGAGAGCCGGTTTTCTGTTTTATTTATGTTGATTTTATATTATTTCTAAATGGATAATGTCAATTTTTACTTAAGTTCTTTGATGAGAGGCAAGGGTGGTGATAGTTGAGTGACTGGAAGTTGGTGGAAGAAGGAAATAAGCCCAGGGTTGACAGCAGCAGGTTTGGCCACAGAGTCTAAGCTTCTAAGAAGGGGAGTCTGTGCATCTGCGGCCTTGCACAAACAACATTCCTCTGCGTTACAAAGATTAAGTGATCAGCATTGTTGACCATCTCCCCAAAAGTTTCTCAGGCATATAAAACTCTGCAAGCTCTTGGGCTCTTTCACAATGCATGCAAATGTGTGTGCCCGAACTTCTCCACATCACCTTTGCTTCCTGGAGATGGAGAACACCCATCCCCATTTTCTCATGTTCAGGCAGTACTGATGGGTTGAATCCCACAACATGGTAGGCTCCTGTCAGTGTGGTTACAAGATCCTCACTCAATGATTAAAAACTGGAGTGAATCTGATTGACCAGTACCATGTATGAAGACCAGTTGTTCTGGAGAATCTCATAAATTTAGTGTCACTTAGAAACGTGCCGGAGACCGGTACCCGAGGGGAGACGGTAGAGAATTAATGAGTAAACATGTTCATGGGATCAGGAGGGTTTTTCCAAGCTGCTGGCCTGAGTAAAAAACCCTTAGTTTATTTCAGGTTCTTTTTATAAGCCAGTAAAATAACATATTACACTGATTAAGCCAGTTATGTGTGGTACAGAGCTGTCTATAGGAGCCTTTCTGTGCCATGGCACTTTGAAGGTCCAGGGATAACTACTTATCAGCAAAGTAAAAATATAAATTCCTCCTTTACAAAGTTCTCAGGGTCCCAGTTTTGCTCAGAGTTCAGATCTCAAGAATAGGTAGAGGTGGGAGACAAGTAGATGGGCAGCCAGCTCTTGCTGACACAGTTCCCAGACAGCAAGGACCTTGTCACCTTGCTGCCTAGTGCCTTATAGAAATGTCTTCAGTTCTGGACAGAAACTGAGTTGCCATGTTGCTCTAGAACAATCTCCTCTCCCATGACAAATCTTAATGTTAATTATCTGATTAATATGGATAACATACTATGGACAAACTTTACATTCCATATGTCAAATTTTATGTTAGATAGACTGTGCAATATTATGTTGAATTAACTGACAACTTTGAATTGTCAATGGGTCAAGAAAACAGGCCCTTCCTCCTCCTCTCCTGGAAAGTGGAAATTGATAGAGACTCTTGTGAATCTTGAACCTAAGGTCCCTGCCATTGGAAGGGCCTCTCCAGTCACAGTGAAGGCTCCTATAAATGTGGTTACAAGATCTCCATTCAATGATTTTTAAAAAAATAGTCACTGAAGATGTCAGCTAGAAGTGCTCCGAAAGCTTGTGTCATATGTAAGGAAGAACGCAACAGAAGTTTTCATGTCTTTGACATTCATTAGCATGGACTCACCAATAGTGTGTTGCGATGCTGAAAAATTCTCTTCCAAGTAGCCAGACTTTCCTTTCCCTCCTTCCAGTAGAGGCAAAATGATGTATTTCTTGACTCAGACACAGCTGTAAAGAGAGCTCATTTTTCTGTGGAGTCAGGGCCCTGTGCAGTCTCCCACCGAGAGCTGGTCTGCCAACCACAACATTTCCTGAAAATGAATGAAATGTTAAATGTAATTTCAGACAAGGGGGACAAAGTGTGTTTGTTTGTTTGTATTTTGTTTTTGTTAACTATTAAAGAAATGATAATATTCACTTTAAAACATAACCACTTTTTTCCTTAATAATTTCTTCTTCTCTGAAGAAAAAAGAGTGTATAGAGAAATTATGATCTATTAATGATATGTGTAGTGTCTCTTAGACAAAATGTTCTTAAACACATTACATATGTATTACATGCGGTAAAGTCAAATAAACATAAATAGACACATCTCTAAGAGAATGTTTTATGTGGAAAAGTAGGGTTGCAATCTGGGACACACACAAACCTGGGTGGTTTTCAGTATGTCTGAGAAACAAATAAAAGTCTGAAAGTTTTATAAGGAGGAGGAATGGAATCATGTAATGTAATGCTGGAAAGAATGATCATTGGCACTAGTGGAGTTCGGGGTAACTGGCAGGCTTCAGCGGCTGAGTGAGAGCAGTAAGTAAAAGTTAGTCTTAGCACAGGAGATTCCATCAGGTACCTGGCAAAGCTGGTCTTAGGCTTGCAGCAGGCTGTTTCTTCAGCAGGTGCTAGGGTGCCTCAAGTGTTTTTTTGCTACTGGACCCTCCACTCCAATATTCCTTTGGGTATGATAAAAATGAGCCAATATGTATAATCAATTTTCACATATACCATGTGTGTTCAAAAGAAGAGATGCCCCACAGGGGCCATGGAATTTTCAGGGGAGACTGAACTCAGTCGCTCCCCAGCTATAAGGAAAGGCCTCCCAATATGCAAATATCTCTCCAAGCCCTGAAGTAAAATTCTGCTCTCACCCTGTGGGAGCTCACAGTTCTTGCCTCAGGCAGGGCTGAGATCTGTGGGAAGACAGAATAAGGTCTAGAAAAAGATGGAATTGCTGGGTCTTCTTTGCCTGGTGACAGCTTTCCAAGGTGAGTGTCTCGGATGTTAAACATGGATCTGTAGGAATGACTATGACTGCACGTGACTGACAGGGACCAATTCTCCTTGTCTACAGGTGTCCTGTCCCAGGTGCAGCTGCAGGAGTCGGGCCCAGGACTGGTGAAGCCCTCACAGGCCCTGTCCCTCACCTGCACAGTCTATGGATCATTCATCACAACCAGTATTAGTTGGTGGCACTGGATTCGCCAGCCCCTGGGGAAGGGACTGCAGTGGATTGGGGAAATAGATCATTCTGGAGTCACAAAACACAACCCTTTTTTGCGGAGCTGCATCTTCATTTCCAGAGACACATCCAAGAACCAGTTTTTCCTGCAGCTGAGCTCTGTGACCGCCGAGGACACGGCCGTGTATTATTGTGCAACAGACACAGTGACAGGAAGTCATTGTGAGCCCAGACACAAACCTCCCTGCAGGGGCACGTGGGATCACCAGGGGGCGCTTAAGCCTCAGGAAGACTAGACCCAGACTGGGGCTGGAGAAATGGGAGGCAGTTTTCTGAAGGTCTGAGTTCCTCCTCCTGGCTAATGTTTAGAAAAAATGGATATAGTTATTTTAGGATACACAACAATCAAGACTGTGTGGTGTTGGTGGAAGAGTAGAGACTTAGGACAATGGAAAAGAAAATGTGTGAACTCTGATCAGCCAAGAGTTTCTTACACATGACAAAGAAAGCACAGACCATAAAACATGAGCAGCACATGATCAAAACAGTGTAGTGCTGATATAAAAACAGACGTGTCAATCGATGGAATCGAATACAGAGCCCAGAAGTAAATGCACATAATTGCAGTTAATTGACATTGATAAAGGTGACAAGAACAGAGCATGGGGAAAGGACAGCCTCTTTAGTAAATTGTGCTGGGAAACTGGGATAGCCACATGAGGAAGAATCAGATTGAACCCTTATTTCACACCACTTGCAAGAATCAACTCAAAATGAATTAAACACCTAAACCTAAGACCTAACACTTGAAAAGTGCTCGTAGAAAACATGTGAGAAATGCTCCATTTGTCTAGGCCATGATTTTTTTGAATATGACCCCAAAAGCACATACAACAAAAGCAAAAGTGGACAAATAGTATTACATAAAACTCAAAAGCTTCTGAACTGCAAAGAAAACCTTCTCATTATAAAGAGACGACCCACAGATTAGGAGAGAAGATTTGAAAACTCATACATCTGATAATGTGCTAATATTAAAAATATAAAAGGAACGCAAAATATTCAATAACAAAAACCAATCTGCTCAAAGAATAGGTAAAATAGTTTTACATACATTTCTTAAAAGAAGATGTACAAATAAACGGCCAAGAGATATGTGAAAAATTTCTCAAAATCACTAATTGTCAGAAAAGTGTCTATTGAAATCACAATGAACTATCACCTTATATCTCTTAGAATGACTATTATCAAAAAGAAAAATAATGAACTTGGGAGAATGGCCTCCATTTCAATTTTTTGGAATAGATTGAAGAGTATTGGTGTTAATTCTTCTGTGAAGGTTTGGTAGAATTTGGCAGTAAAGCATCTGGTTCTGGGCATTTCTTTATTGGGAGACTCCTGATTTCATCTTCAACTTCTTTGCTTGTTATTGGTCTGTTCAGGTTTTCTGTGTCTTCTTGGTTCAGTCCAGGTAGTTTCTATGTGTCAAGAATTTATCTGTTTCTTCCAGGTTTCCAAATGCGTTGGCCCATAGCTGTCTGTAACAGCCTCTAATGATTCTTTGTATTTCTGTGGTCTTGGTTATAATGTTTCCTTTTTTATTTCTAATTTTTGCTATTTGGATCTTTTCTCTTCTTTTTCTAGTTAGCCGTGCTAATGGCTTGTCTATTTTGTTTTCTCAAAAAACACAACTTTTTGTTTGGTTGATTTTTTGTATTTTGGGGTTTTTACTTCTTCTGCTTTGATCTTAATTCCTTCTTTCCATCCACTAACTTTGGGTTTGGATTGTTCTCGTTTTTCTAGTTTTTTGAGGTTTTGGCATAACAGTGTTTATTTGTCATCTTTTTATTCTTCTGATGTATGCATTTATTGTGATCAAGTTCCCTCTTTGTACTGCTTTTGTGATGTCCCACATATTTTGATATGATATGTCATTATTTTCATTAGCTTTAAGAGTTATTTTTTTAATTTGTTTAATTTATTCTTGGGCAACACAAAGCAACAAAATGGTGCCCAGTGTGAGGACGTTCTCCACGGATCGGAGACTGACCTGCCAAGCATTAGAGAGGAATAGGACATCCGTTCATCCCAGCAAGGGAGTCCCTAATAAGGGAGACGAAATGCACCCCGGTAAGGGAATCACAGGTGGCTTTCAATTAGCGACTGCACGCCTGCGGCAGGTCAAAGTTAGGCTTTTTCAACCCTGGAGATATTTTTTCATTTTCTTTACTTTTACAGTATGGATATTTGTTAACGAAAGGGGAGACTGAACATACACTACAACTCCAATGTCTCCTTAAAGCAGCAGGCTGTGAGTAACTGAATGGCAGCTTGTAAAACTGTTAGTAGATATTAAACAACCGTGTCCTGATGCCTCAAGGAAGGGAGCCTTAACATAAAAATTTGGGAACAAATTGGTCACTGGTTAATTATGCAATGAGTCTTGTTAAGGCTTCCCACCTAACAACTAGGAATCTATGTCAGGTTGCTCTGAGACCTATCCAAGACCTTAACAAAAAACTAATACATGTTTATGTCACCAAAAAAGGATAAAACTGATTCTTTGCCAGTGACTGAGAGAACTTTAAATTGGGTAATCTAATGTAAAAGAAGTTAACATTTCTTTACAGTGTGGGTATTGTTTGAGCATGTTTTTCTTTCTTATCTGCACGATGCTTCTCTCCTCTCTTAAAAGCAGAGGTTCTTTTCTTAACTGCATGTGCTACTCTTTTTCTCTGAAGACTCTGGAGTTTTATGAAGAAAAGCAGCCATGGCACCAACCAGACCCCTTTTGGGTCTACTGCTCTGCTCCTAAAAATCTCAGGAGTCAAATGGTTTCAACTCTGATTGGTGGCTCAGCTCTTGAGCTCAGGAACCCATTTTAAAAAAACAAAACCTAGACTAAGATCCACCTGTTTAACTAGATGGTCTCAAATTTTCTGGCATCCACTTGGTCATCTTGAACAGACTCTAAATTCTCTTCTAGTCTCATCTATGTATTTCTTCACAAAACTTTATGGTAGAAATTCTATGCTATCTTCTTAAAGGAAGAAAATCTTCTCTGCATCTTCTTGAAAAGGTTTGCATACTTTGCTTTACAATGTAAACTTGTTATCTTGCTTTCTTTAAGGCAAGGTGAAGCTTCACCAATAAGTCTTTTGGAAAAAACACAACCTAAACCTTACTGTCCTTTTTATCAGTGAGCTTTTTATTACATCTTGAACAAAACCTATAGGATCCTTTTTTGTCCTTGTTGTTTATGTCTGCATATATGTGTGTGTAAGATATATGTTATGTCTCTATGTTCATATCTGTTTGTGTAATTGTTTTATGTGCAAGGTACCAAATTGGCTTATAATTAATTACAAGCCAGCCAGGAGCCTCACACAAGGAATCATTTTGTTGCTTTGCCTTGCTTCGCCCCCCACGGATTTGTCACCCCTCTTCCCCTGGGTGACGGAGATGCAAAGGATTACTCAAAGCCCATCTGTACTGAGCAGTGAGAGGCCCCGAGGTGGTTAATTTCCCTTCCTTGGGAAATTAATGCCAAATTGGGGTTCACTTCCTGCATTTGTTTTACAGACCAGGAAGTTACAGGAATAGAACAAAGGTGGGGTTATAGTTTAACAATATAGACTGGTAACTTTCAGTGAAACAAGCTAGATGACATTCCAGTAGACAATTAAGTGATCCACCAACAAAAGCTTGATCTTAGCAAACATTCCTTCTTATAGCAATTTCTCAGTATCTTTACATAACAATCAGTAACTAGTCTGTCTTTGAGCCAGCAACCTTGCTGTGCCACAAATCTTATCTTGCAACAGAGACTAATAGCCTGAGGGAAATTTCCAGTCCTCTGCAAGCTCAATATTTGAAACTGCAAGGCTTTGGGAAACGAGGCCCTGTGCGGTACATATGCTTTTTAGCATATTCCGTATCTCCCCCGTTTTATTTATTTAAAAGGAAAAGCAAAAGCTATAGATCAGGTTGGCATAGATAAGACAAAAAGCATTTTGTTAAAGCAAAGTTAGTATCATTTAGCATGGCAAGTCCTTTTAATTTACTTCAGGTGAGGACTGATGTCATTGTCTCAGGGTGGCTGCAGCGGCATCACTCCAGGTGCTGTGAATTGGGTGTAATTAGCAATTGTTGAAACTCCGGGAAAGGGATTCTGCTCCATGTATTAGTTGATTCTGAGTTCAGTGAGTTTGTTAATGTTAAAACTGTCCAGGACATTACTGTTTCCAAAGCATCTAGTCTTTTGTAAAATTTTTGATCAATTACAAGGCTTTCACTTAAGAACAGGATGTCTCATTCAAGTTACAAACACCCTCTTTAAGGCCAGGAAAATTTAGAGAACTGCTTTTGTAGAGACGATGTTATTTCCCCCTTTATGATCAAGGCATTCCTCATGAAAGCATTGATGATCAATATCTAGATTGAAAAGGTTTTACTTTTCTTTGCTTAAATCTCTTGGTGTTGGGAAAGCACTTTCCCAGGTGGTGATTGAAAGAAGCATCTCGGCTCACTTTCTTTCAGTGATCTGTCCCACTTGGGGGGAAAGGTAAACAGCAGGATGAAGCAGCACCAGCCCAAATTTATGGCAACATAAAAAAGGGATCAGCAACATGGAAATGAGACATGCTATCTTATATCCAAAGTTTTAAATTATATTCTGTTATAGAGAGAGAGAGTTAATTTTCATTGAATTTATAAAAATAGCTACATTGCCATAATAATCATAAGGATACTTAAAGTTATTAAATTTGGGGGGGATCAAATAGGGAGGAAACAAATTATTTTATCTCTGTTTTAAATGACATTTTACCAAACTATTGTTAATTATAGATAGCTTAAGAGAGAGAGAGAGTTGTCTTACATTTGGAAAAACATTAGGAGAACCAGCGGCGTTTTAAAATAAGGAAATTGTAAAAACCCATAATTCTTTTTAATTAATTTACCAATTAACTTTTGTTGTTTTGACTTTTGTGAACAATTTCACAAACCCATCAGTTTCTTCATTAGAATTTTTTTTTTCCTTTTTGTCTTTTTTCATGACTGGTAATGGGATCGCAACCCTCGGTGTTGCACCCGTACCATGACCGGCAACGGGGTCACAACCCTCGGTGTCACGCCCGCACCATGCTCAACCAGTGAGCGGACTGGTCTCTATATGGGATCCGAACCCTCGGTGGGAGTGCTGCTGCGCTCCCAAGTGCTGCACTCTACCGAGTGCGCCACCGGGCCGGCCCTCTTCATTAGAATTTTAGAACTTTAGTTTAAAGCTATGAATTCAAAGTTTGTCAGAAACTGTATCAGAGTTTTTCATGAAATATTTGAGGATATACCATTTAAAAATTATAATTAAACCAAGATTATGACTGGTAGCATTTATAACAAGACACAGATAACTAATAACCTTACAAGATTTTGGAACACATATCCATAACACCTTGAGTACTGACAATGCTTTCCCAAATAGCCTAGCTTATTTAATAAGCCAATTAGTTCTGGTATACCTTTCATATATCCTTTGAGAAACTCCAGGGCCCTTGGAATTCCTCAAAGTTATTTTATAGTTTCAGAATTTAGTGTTGGAAAGCTGTGTTAAATAACAAAAGGCTTAAAACATTTAGTTGAATAAGATCACAAATTACTACAAAAAATAAAACCGAAGTGACAAAGGGTTTTAAAGGCAGAGAGCACAAGAACTTATCATGAAATAAGTTTTTAAACCAGTTATCTAAGGGACAAAGAAAAACTTTTACAATTTTGTATTAAGAGCAGTCAAGTGTTTTTTTGTTATTTTGTTTTGCTTTTTTTTTTTTTTTTTTTTTTTTAAGAAAATCTGGTTGTTCCATTGCAGGAGAGCAAATTCTAACCCTGTATTAGAATACTTTTGACATTAATTATTAGAAAAATTCACATATAATTTGTTTTTAAATCCAGTTGTTTTTTTTTTTTTTTACTATAAAACCCTTTCAACAAACTTATCTACATAAACCATCATCAAGACTTACTCAGACATTCTGTTTTTGTCCTATACTTTCTACTTTCTAAATAGCCAGTCCTTTTACTCTAGGACAAAAATACACTGTACCAGATGCTTTCTTACATAAAAATTATCTTTCTTATTCTCTAGCCCCTCCAACCATAACCATATCCCCACATCCACAGCATTCTTTAAATCACCTCCTTCTTACACACTTGTTTTTCTTTCATCAATGTTAAATTTGCCTAATTTGTCTAAAAATTACATATAAAAAGGTATTTTTTTGTATTTAGTTTTTTTTTTTGGTTTTGGTGGGGTTTACAACTTAAAAGCCTCTAGCAAAGACAAAGGTAGTCCTGTTTGATTAGTAAACCCAAGCAACAATGTGTGTTGATAAGAACATTTTTATACATTCAGATTAGTAAATAGGTGTCCATTTATCAGAGCAAATCACACAAAGCCCAGTTTTAGTTTTAGCTAAATTTACCAAATACATATTTATGGTTTCCCAGCCAAAAAGTTGGTGTATTAGATTTATACCCTTATCAGTTAATGCTAACTAGGGCCTATGTGATATTTGGCATAGGTTTCTTTTCACTAGCCATTTCAGGTCCCAGGTTTTCATGTGGTGTTTGTAGCCATGTGGAATCCAGAGAGGCAGAGGGCAGTATTCACTATCTATGTCTAAAAGATATTATCTCTCCCAGCATGACCAGGAGGCAGAGCTGAGATAGCAAAGAGACATATTGACTTAGAGACACATTTAGGTAAAAGGTTTGAATCAAATATTGAAAATATATTTATCAAAACTTTAGAAGATTTAAGTCACGTGAACTTGAAAAGTATGCTTATTTATTTAATGAGTGCACATTAATTATAAGCCAATTTGGTACCTTGCACATAAAATGATTACACAAACAGACATGAACATATAGACATAACACACAGCTTACACACGCATATATGCAGACATAAACAACAAGAACAAACAAAGATCTTATAGGTTTTGTTTCAAATGTAATACAAAGCTCACTGGTAAAGAGGACAGTCAGGCTTAGATTGTGTTTTTTCCAAAGGACTTATTGGTGAGGCTTCACCTTGCCTTAAAGAAAGCAAGATGACAAATTTACATTGTAAAGAAAAGTATGCAAGCCTTTTCAAGAAGATGCAGAGCAGATATTCTTCCTTTAAGAAGATAGCATAGAATTCTACCAATAGGGTTTTGTGAAGAAATACATAGATGAGACTAGAAGAGAATTTAGAGTCTGTTCAAGATGACCAAGTGGATGCCAGAAAATTTGAGACCATCTAGTTAAACAGGTAGATCTTAGTCTAGGTTTTGTTTTTTTAAATGGGTTCCTGAGCTCAAGAGCTGAGCCACCAATCAGAGTTGAAACCATTTGACTCCTGAGATTTTTAGGAGCAGAGCAGTAGACCCAAAAGGGGTCTGATTGGTGCCATGGCTGCTTTTCTTCATAAAACTCCAGAGTCTTCAGTGAAAAAGAACAGCACATGCAGTTAAGAAAAGAACCTCTGCTTTTAAGAGAGGAGAGAAGCATCGTGCAGATAAGAAAGAAAAACATGCTCAAACAATACCCACACTGTAAAGAAATGTTAACTTCTTTTACATTAGATTGTCCGATTTAAAGTTCTCTTAGTCACTGGCAAAGATTAAGTTTTATCCTTTTTTGGTGACATAAACATGTCTTAGTTTTTTGTTAAGGTCTTGGATAGGTCTCAGAGCAACCTGACATAGATTCCTAGTTGCTAGGTTGGAAGCCTTAATGAGACCCATTGCATAGTTAATCAGTAACCAATTTGTTCCCAAATTTTTATGTTAAGGCTCCCTTCCTTGAGGCATCAAGGACATGGTTGTTTAATATCCACTAACAGTTTTACAAGCTGCCATTCAGTTACTTACAGTCTGCTGCTTTAAGGAAACATTGGAGTTGTAATGTATGCTCAGTCTCCCCTTTTGTTAATGAATTATCCATATTTTAAAAGAAAAGAAAATGAGAAAATATCTCCAGTGTTGAAATAGCCTAATTTTGATCTGCCGCAGGCATACAATAGCTAATTGAAAGCCACCTGTGATTCTCTTACTGAAATGCGTTTCCCTTATTTGGGACTTACTTGGTGGGATGGACGGACATCCCATTCCTCTCTAATGCTTGGCAGGTCAGTCTCCGATCCATGGAGAACATCCTCACACAGGGTGCCATTTTGTTGCTTTGTGTTGCTTCACCCCCCATAGATTTGTCACCCCACTTCCCCTGGGTGACAGAGATGCAAAGGATTACTCAAAGCCCATCTCTTCTGAGAAGTGAGAGGCCCCAAAGTGGTTAATTTCCCAAGGAATGGTTCCAGGAGATTAACCATTTTTGAGCCTCTCACTGCTCAGAAGAGATGGGCTTTGAGTAATCCTTTGCATCTCCATCGCCCAGGGGAAGTGGGGTGACAAATCCGTGGGGGGCAAAGCAATGCAAAGCAACACTTGGGTCCATATGTCATTCAAGAGAATGTTGTTTTACTTCCATACACTTGTTTTCAGAGTTTTGTTTGTTATTGAGCTCTAGTTTTCATCTACTGTGGTCTGAAAAAAAAATAAATGAAATAATTTCAATATTGTAAAATTTCATGATAAAGACTTTCAGCAAATTAGGTATAGAAGGAAAGTATCCCAACACAATTGAAGCCACATATGACAAACCCACTGCCAAAATCTTCCCAAATGAGTAAAAGTTGAAAGTTTTTATACAAGACAAGGATGTCCACTCTCACCACTCCTACTTAATATAGTATCAGAAGTACTAGCCAGAAATGAAGGAAATGGTTACCCAAGGACGTGTTCACTTGGCGAACTGGCAAACGAGTTAACCAAGAAATGTCAAGGATCCTTGACAACGCTTGAAGTCGTGAGAACACTTTCTTGGGATGTTCCCAGGAGACACAATATAGATAACCAAGTGCTTGAGAAGGGAGGTAACGGCCTTCTGCTCTTGAGAAAAGTATAACAGAATTTATGCATTAATGCATCTCTCGCATGCACAAGCTTGCTAAATGTAATAAAAGCTGTGACAGCAGCTGGGTCGGGGCTACTCGCCTGAGAGAGCAGTACCCCCCCCTTCACCTGCATCTCATCTGCTGTGTCTTCCTTCGCGTCTCTGATCATTTTAATCAACATCTGGTGCCCACACGTGGGGTGCAAAAGGTAAGACGTGGGAACGGACGGGACCGAGGAGGTTTTAATGGACGGTGAAGAGTTCCGCCATCTCTTGGGGAAATTTAGAGTCGGGGCATAATGGGAAGTCAGTGTTAAGTGTTTAAGTGTTATGTGATTAAGTGTTAAGTGTTTACCATCGGCGTTAAGTGATTGTATGGTAGTATTGAAATCATTATTGACGTCTTAAGGATTAAAAATTAAAGAGAAGGTTTTACTTTCATTATTTAAAAAGATACAGAAACATTGCTATTGGTTTACTCCAGACAATATGAACCAATTTGATGTAAAAATTTGGAGGCAGGTCAGTAAAGCTTTTTGGAGAGCTGGTCAGGCTGGAGAAGTTATATCGGCAGAGGAATGGGCAGCATTTAACATGGTGGCTTTAGCCTTGCAACCTTTCAATCTGATTCAGATGACAGCAGTCAGCGTCCTCAATCTGATTCAGTAAAGCCACAAAAGAAAATTCTTTCTTCACATATACATGAGAGTCCTCCTGAGCCTTCTGCCCCTCCCATGCCCAATTCGGAGTCTGATGATCATTCTGATTTTTGCGATGATGAGACTGAGATTCCAAAACCTGAATTAGAAAAGAAATGTCTTATTCAATCTAAATCATACCCACCATTACCTAAGCCCCCTGATGATCCAAAATTGGATGTTTTGGACGATCTTATTCAAAAACTGGAGGCTTGCTTACAGGATGCACAAGCTTTCCCTGCTGTACAGCAGAAATCAATCTCTCCGTCTGCTTCTGCCCCTGGCATTCCACATCATGTTTTTAAATTTCCAAATTCACCTCAAATGAAAAAGATTATGTTAGATGCTGATTCAGGGGCTCCCCAAAAGACTCTTCCTGACATGCCTCCTAATGGATTTTTTTATTTTCCCATTTTAAGACAGGAAACACCTCCTACTGAAGAATTTCATAATGGATTTATTCAAGTGCAATATGATCCTGTCAGTTTTCAATATTTAAAGATACTTAAGCAGGCTATTACCACTTATGGTATTACCTCCCCTTATGTTACTGGACTTTTAATGTCTTTTGCTGAGGACAATTTACTTATCCCAATAGATTGGGAAATACTTGCTCATATGACTTTGGAATCTCCTCAATACATACAGTTTAAATCATGGTGGTGAGATAAAACAGAAAGGGTGTCTCGCCTAAACGCTTATCAGCGTAATGGAGGGCCTGACGTGGAACAACTTACAGGTACTGGTGCCTGGGCTGATCTTCAACAACAATGTCAAATGAACCCTGCTGCCCTTGCCCAATTAAAGGCAATTTGCCTTATGGCTTGGCAGAGGATTCAAGACTCAGGACCATCCCCCCAAACTTTTGTTAAGATAATGCAAGGTCCTAATGAACCCTATACTGATTTTTTGGCCCAGCTTCATGTTGTTGTCAAAAGAGCAATTAGTAATGAAGCTTCATGTTGTTGTCAAAAGAGCAATTAGTAATGAACAAGCTCAGAGATTTTATGAGTTCAATTTCCAGATTTGAAATTTATTCATTATATGGATGATATTTTAATTGCTATGCCTCCGACTTTTTCTTGCCCAGAATTGTTACAGATTATTCGTGCCACACTTCAGGATTTTGGTCTTTTAATTGTGGAGGATAATAGTCAATCACAGCCTTTTTCTTATTTAGGACAAAAGATTACTGAACAAATCATTATTCCCCCAAAGGTACAAATTCGAAGGGATTCATTGCGGACTTTAAAGGATTTTCAGAAGTTATTAGGAGCTATAAATTGGCTTCGCCCTTCATTGCGTATCCCAACATATGCCTTGCCTCATTTATTTTCAACACTAAAGGGCGATCCAACCTTAAATAACCCTCGAGTGTTATCCCAAGAAGCCGAATCTGAGTTACAACAATTGGAAAATATTACCCAACAAGTTCAATTGCAAAGAATTACTGACTATAAAAATTTACAACTTGTGATTTTTCATACACCTCATTCACCCACTAGTGTGTTACTACAACAAGATAATATTATTGAATGTCTTTTTCTTCCGCATAAAACTACTAAACCATTAGAAACATATATAGATAAAATTTCTGTTTTGATAACTAAAGGACGGCTCTGTTTTTGTCAGTTAACTGGTCAAGATCCTTGTATTATTGTACTGCCTTTGTCTCACGGAGACACAATCCTTATATGTTTTGAATGTACGGTGGCAATTGGCTATTAGTGAATTTTTAGGAAGTTTTACATCTCATTATCCTTCACATAAGATGCTTCAATTTCTGCAGAGAACGTCTTGGATTCGTCCTAATTGTGTTAAATTTTCTCCTATATCTAATGCAAAAACTTACTTCACAGATGCTAACAATTTTGGCCTGGCAGGATACACAGACACAGTAAACCATAAAGTCCTTCAAAGTCCTCATACTTCAGTTCAGAAAGCTGAAATATATGCTATATATTTACTTTTAATTGATGTAGGAGATATTCCTTTGAATATTCTTTCAGATTCCCAATATGCTGTCCAAGTGGTACAAACTATAGAAACTGTTACTGTTCCTTCTGATTCTAATGAATCACACGCTTTATTTCACTTACTAAGCAGCAAGTTATTCACTCCCGTTCCTCACCTCTTTTTGTTAAGCACATTCGCACTCATACCAATTTGCCTGGACCGTTGAGTAAAGGTAATGCATTAATCAATACTCTTGTAGGTTCTGTTTTGCAGGCCACTGAGGCTCATTCCCATTTTCATTGTAATGCTCACTCTTTGCATCATGATTATCATATTTCATGGACTCAAGCCCGTGCAATAGTACAACAATGCCCCATATGTCAAAAATTAGATGCAGTTCCTTTATCGGCTGAGGCCAACGACCATGGGAATGCTCCTTTTCAGTTATGGCAAGTGGATGTTACTATTGCTCCTGAATTTGGTAAAGTGAAATATGCTCATGTGTCTGTGGATGCTTTTTCAGGCTTTATGTGGGCAACACCATTGGCATCTGAGCGTGCTAATGCAGTTATTTCTCATCTCTTGGAGGCCTTTGCTGTCATGGGAATTCCTATACGGTTAAAAATGGACAATGCCCCTTCATATTTATCTCAGAAATGTCAGTTATTTTTCCAGGCCTATAATATCAAACATTTTACTGGTATCCCTTATAATAGCACAGGTCAAGCCATTGTTGAACGGCATAATAGAACACTTAAATCTTTGTTAGAAAAACAAAAAGGGGGAGACTATATGGAATCCCCAAGATGATGAATAGCTCAAGCTCTATTTACTCATAATTTTTTGAATAGAAATGCAGAAAATTCAACACCAGGTGAAAGACAATGGGCACATGTATCTAGTGAACCACTATAACAACCTATATATTATTATGATACACTCAAATCCCTTTGGCTTCCAGCGGTAGTTAACCATTGGGGCAGAGGTGATGCTTATATTTCCACAGATACTGAATCCTTTTGGATACTGGATAAGAGGATTAAGCTGAGAAATGGCTCAAAAGAGAAAGAAGGAAATGGAAGAAGTTCAGAAAGGCATAGCAGATCTACAGATTGACCCAAACAGCTGAAAAATGTTTCATTATCCACTACTAAGCACTCAAATGGCGACTATACCAACTTGAGAACAGATAAAGAAATTGACTCAAGAAGCAAATAAGATCACTGAACAACATGGTCATGGGGGTAATGCATTCGCAATGTTTTTGGCCATGATGGCTTTGGTGTCCACTCAAGTTGGTTTTGTCACTGCTGATAATCATACTTATTGGGCCTATATTCCACATCCTCCCATTAATCAGGCTGTTTCTTGGTATGATGCCCCATTGTTGGTGTATGCTAATGACTCTAGATGGATGCCTGGACCACATTCCCAGTGAGGACCTTTAAAGCCTGAAGAGGAAGGGACTAATGTTATAAATTATACAGTGGGATCAGGGGGACCTCCTATTTGTATTGGACATGGTGATCACTGTCTTAAAATTGCACCCCAGGCATGGTTAACTGTTACAAGAAATACTTCAAGTAAGGAAAGTTACGACGACTGTTTTTGTTAAGTGCCTATAGTTTCCACAATTCTTCATTTGATCAAAACGCTTCTGTACCCCATATTCCTCCCTGTCAAATACTTATTCTGAATCACTTGCCCCAATGGGCTCCCTGGACTACTTGTAGGGGAGAAACGGCCCAAGTACTGGTTAATACTTCCTATGGAAATGTCATTGATTGGAGTCCTATTGGCTCTGCTCGGACCAAAGGCCACACTTCAGATCTAAAGTGAAATAAACATAATCATATTATAAGTACTGCAGGAAATGAGTCTATTGTATGGCACGGTGGAGGACTTGCACCTCCATTTCCTCATTTACCATATTATCCATTACAAAAAGATTTGTGGAAACTTCCCACATCTTTATATCCTTTATATACATGGATTGGATGTATGATTAATTCCTCATCAAACTATTCCTTAAACTTCACTGTAAACAGTTTCATATATGTTCACAGTTGTGTACGATTACCTTATTTAATGATGATTGAACAAATTAATTGGAAGCAAACCACTGGTGAGATAAAATGTTTAGGTAATTGCTCATTATATACTTGTTTAAATCATACCATGAACATTAATTTTTCTAAAGATAGTTTATATATCTTGAAGGCAAAAATTGGCATTTGGTTACCAGTAAACTTAATTGACCATGGCAGGACTCCCCTGCTGCTGGTTTCTTACAATATGTAGCTGAGTCTTTGCTAAAACGTTAAACTGCAAATGGCAAAAACAAAAAAGGGGAGATGAAGGAAATGGTTAATGGACTTCTGTGGTCAGTACCCAAGGACGTGTTCACTTGGTGAACTTGCAAACGAGTTGACCAAGAAATGTAAACAATCCTTGACAATGCTTGAAGTCGTGAGAACACTTTCTTTGGATGTTCCCAGGAGACACAATATAGATAACTGAGTGCTTGAGAAGGGAGGTAATGGCCTTCTGCTCTTGAGAAAAGTATAACAGAATTTATGCATTAATGCTTATCTTGCGTGCACTAGCTTGCTAAATGTAATAAAAGCTGTGACAGCGACTGGGTCGGTGCTATTTGCCTGAGAGAGCAGTAGCCCCCCGCTCTTCACCTGCATCTTGTCTGCTGTGTCTTCCTTCACGTCTCCAATCATTTTAATCAACAGAACCTGCCTCAGCATGACTGGTACATCATCCCTTGGGAAGGCAACTCTCACAATGTCTTCAGGGTGCTGGCTGCTGTGAGGGGCATAGATGGTGAGGTCACCAAACTCTACCTTGTGTGCCCCTTGTCCTTGATGGCTCCTCTTCACCCTCCATCTCACTGCTTCAGTCGCTCCAGGATAGGTGCCTCCTCCTGGGGCACACCACTCTCAGCCAGTGAGTGCACCGGCCATCCCTATATAGGATCCGAACCCGCAGCGGGAGTGCCGCTGCACTTCCAAGTGCTGCACTCTCCCGAGTGCGCCACGGGGTCCGCCCCATCTCAGATCATTTTAATCAACACAGAACAATCAGAGAAGAGAAGGAAATCAAGGAAATATAGATTGGAAAAGATGAAGTCAAAATGTCCCTGTCTGCAGATGGCATGATCCTATATAGAGAGAAGCCTAAAGACTCTACAAAAATTCTTAGAGTTTTGCATTTCTCTAATGACTAGTTATGGTGAACATTTTTTTTATGTATTTGTTGGCCATTTGTATGCCTTCGTTTGAAAAATGTCTATTCATCTCCTTTGCCCATTTTTTAATTGGATTATTATTTTTTCACTGTAGAGTTCTTTGTAATTTTGGATATTAATCCCTTGTTGGATGTATAGTTAGCAAATATTTTCTTCCACTCTGTAGGTTGTCTCTCTGCTCTGTTGATTGTTTCCTTTGCTGTGCAGACGCTTTTTAGTTTGATATAATCCCACTTGTTTATTTTTTCTTTTGTTACTTGTGCCTTTGGAATCTTATTCATAAAGTCTTTGAAATCAATACCACATTGAGATATCATCTCATCTCAGTTAGACTGGCCATTATTAAAAGACTGAGAATAACAAATTCTGGTGAGGGTACAGGGAAAGGGGAACCCTTTTACAGTGTTGGTGGGACTGTAAATTAACACAGCCATTATAGAAAACAGTATGGAGGCTCCTCAAACAACTACAGATAGGACTATTGCTATACTATTGCTGCTGTATAATCCAGCAATCACAATTCTACATATATACCCAAAGGAATGGAAATCATCATAGAAGGGACACCTGCACTCCCATGTTCATTGCAGCTCTATTTACAGCAGCCCAAATAGGGAAGCAACCTAAGTGTCCATCGATGAATGACTGGATAGGAAAAATGTGGCATATATACACAATGGAATACTACCCAGCCATAAAAAAGAATGGAATTCTGCCATTCACAGCAACATGATGAGCTTGGAGAAAATTATGTTAAGTAAAATAAGCCAGATATAGAAAGAAAAGTACTGCATGCTCTCATTCAAAAGTGGGAGCTGAGGAAGGAAGGAAGGAAAGAAAGAAAGGAAAGAAAGAAGGAAGGAAAGAAAGAAAGAAAGAAGGAAGGAAAGCAAGCAAGCAAGCACAATAATACATTCAACATTCAGAAGGAGAGAACAGACCTGTGGTTACTAGAGGTGGAAAAGGGGAAGGGAGAGAGGATTACAGAGAAATTGGGTAAGGAACATAAAGTATAATCATGATTTGTAATAGTGAATATGCCAATATTGATTTAATCATCACATACTGTACACAGTTACTGACAGTCAACACTGTTCCCCATAAATAATATGTATAATCAATTGTATTTCAATTAAAAGTAAAAAAAAAATAGTCAAACAATCTTAGGACAGGAACCCTCAGTATTACCAATGTTCAAAACCAGGCTAGCGACAGAGTCTAAAAAATACAAACAAACTGAGGACATCATACATTCAACATCAACAAACTCAAGAGCACTCAATATTACCCTTGAACATGCTGCTTCTCTGAATAGTTCATGTTCTCACATTCCACAGTGACTGTGGAATCTGTGGATCCTATACAGGGTCTCTCTCCTCCTGAAACACGTGGCCTCCACCCTCTCAGCATGCACTGTGTCCTTAGTGTGTCCTCTGAACTCCTCACAGGGGTGAAAATAAGACACCACCTCAACAGAAACTCACCACTGTCATTTGTTTTTTTTTTCTGTACTCATGATTGTTTATTTTGTCCTGTTCATTACTGGTAACATTCAATAACATCTCACTTAAATTTTTAAGTTTTTGTTTTGTTTCCATGACAAATTGTCTTGGGTCTTCCCACTAGCCTTATAACACAATGTAGTGTGTGCTGCTTTTTTTGTCATTAATAACATCTACAAATGTCACAATATTTGTTTTTCTTTCCAGCAGATCTAATTCTTTCTTTCCTGGAAATGAGCACACACTAGCAACCTATTCACACCCACCTAAATATATGCACACTAATTGTATTTCTGTCTCTGTGAGTGTGAATGTATATCAATCTCCCTCCAAGTTCATAGTTTCTCTGAAGGTGAGGACAGACTCTTCTGCATCTGTGTAAATAAAGAGACCCATTAGTGAGTAGTGAGCTCACCTTGTTCTCGATGTGGTGTGCTCTCTCCCCCTCCATTGTCCCACCTCAGGTCAGCTAACATTCCAGGTTTTAACAAGAGTTACTGTTATAACTCTCCCATATTCTGGTTACTTATATGTTACTGCATTTATGAATATTATTTATTATTTAATTCACTTAAAAAAAAAAAAAACACTGAATAGCCAAGTTGCAATACTCCACACTCATCTTTGACCATAGAAGTAAGTAAAGCAAAGCCAGGTTGTTCTAAATGGTTGTTTAACGGGGCCTGGGTGTGGGATGGAACAAACAGACTTGCCATGACTCCCCTTGTCTCTAGGTGTCCTGTCTGAGCTGACACTGCAGGAGTCGGGCCCAGGACTGGTGAAGCCATCGCAGACCCTGTCCCTCACCTGCACTGTCTCTGGGGTCTCTGTCACAAGTGCTGGTTGGAGCTGGATCCGCCAGCCCCCAGGGAAGGGGCTGGAGTGGATGGGAAACATTTACTCTGATGGCAGCACAGGTTATAACCCGTCCCTCAAGAGCCGCACCTCCATCACCAGAGATACATCCAAGAACCAGTTCTCCCTGCAGCTGAGCTCTGTGACCGCCGAGGACACAGGTGTGTACTACCATGTGAGAGACAGTGACAGGAAGTCAGTGTGAGCCAGACACAAACCTCTCTTCAAGATAAGGGAGGGGTCTGGGCTGCAGGGGGCGCTCAAGGCCTACCCAGCTCCTGTGCCCCAAGGAGCAGGTGCAGAGAGGGGATGGGGGGTTCCTCTTGGGATCTGAGGTTTCCTCTGCTCTGCTGACTGCCAGATGTCCCCCAGGGCCAATTCCTGTTTGTTCTTTGTGACTCTAATTCCCATGTTCTCAGTGCAGGCAACACAGAATGAAGTAACTTTCTTCATCTTCAGATAAGGTGTTCCCATTTAGAGGGACCTTTCTTTTCTCAGATTTTAACATGAAATGTTTTCTTTCCCAGCAAAAAAAATCATTGCAAGGATTCTTATCTTTGTCTGATCAAGAGTAATTTTCCCTAAAGTTTAGCTCAGTCCATGTGTCAATGGAAACTGAGGAAATTGCATGCTCCACTGGCTAAGTCCAGGTTCTTGGTTTCTCGAACACAGAATCGGATGAGACACACCAGAGGTGAAAAGCAAAGAGCAGTTTAACTTAGCAGAGAACACACTCCAGAGAGGATGGAGCGGGCTCGAGCAAGAGAGCATGGCTCATGAGGAACCAAAGTGACATTCCAGGGGGTTTAAGTCCTCTTAGCTGGATTCGTGTCATTTGGTCATTGGTTGAGCCCATAGTGAAATCTCTGTTGATTGGTGCCCTAGCTGGTAGGAGTTCATTGGTCCAATCAAATGATACCCAAGGTGGGGGCAGAGCACCCTGTCTGGAATTGTGTTTGTTGGCTGTGGCTACTTTTGCACTTGTGTTTGCCTGCGTCTGGTTTTCCCACTTGCAAATAACCAAGTTTCCTCTTCCTGCTCTTGTCTTTTTCTAATTTCTTGCTACATTTTCACACTGAGAGACATAAGTCTTTATGAGTTGTAGAGGGACAATGGTTCATCTTCTGTAGCTGCTTCTTCATTGAAAAGAGGTGTTGGCCCTGCCTATTGGGGAACACAAAACTCTCACCCTACCTGGACTAAGTGGGAGAGCAGGATTAGGGGTCAGTTCAAGGCATGTTAGTGGTGAGCTGGTGTCTGGCCTGTGCAGTGTGGGGTAGGGGCCAGTGGCAGTTCCAAGGGGTTGATATCCTTGTTGCATGGTCATCTGTAAATTTACAGTCTCTAAATGAGAAGAGATAAACTTGGATAACAGCTTTAGTAAACAGGGCCCCAAAACCATGGCCAGAATTAGCACCATCAGAGGTCCTAATAGGACAACAACCATGGGAACTAATTCCAATTTTTGACCAGGCACCCCAGAACTCAGATGATTGTTATTGTAATTGTGAGGCTCTATCTGCTAATTGCTTTGCAGCATTCATCACTAGGACTGACTGGTTAACATAGAAGCAACATTTTTCTTCCAAAAATAAGCAAAGTCTGCCTTTTTGAGCTGTTAGGAGGTCTAATCCTCTCCTATTATTATTATTATTATTTGTCTTTTTCATGACCGGTAAGGGGATCACAACCCTTGGCGTGGTGTCGCCCACACTGCGCTCAGCCAGTGAGTGCACTGGCCATCCCTATGTAGGATCTGAACCTGTGGCGGGAGCGTCGCTGCGCTCCCAGCACCGCACTCTCCCAAGTGCGCCATGGGCTCAGCCCTCTCCTATTTTGGAGTATCACCCCTGACACTGAATCTTTCTGATCCTGAAACTAGTGGCCCACGTATGAATGGGAACTGGGACAGGTACATATTGGGTGGAAAATAAAGGGAAACTAAGTCAGCAATCTTTAGCTAAATTTCGGTTGATAGAATTTTTAAAAGCCTTGGGTTAATTTTAAAGTATTATATAAGTATTTTGTAGTCAGGTTTTCTGTGGTGGATAAGGCTTTTGCAATTGTGATGTCAATCACACATAAACCCAGATAGAAAAGGGATGCTACAAGGTTTTCCATGCTTATTAACACTTATCTTTAGTGGTTAAACCAAGTGAGGGTAGAGGATTTCTTTGCCAGGGGGCTCACATCTTCACAGTGGCACAGGTGTAAATGTGATCTGGCAAAGAAGGTGGAGGTCCGGAGGCAGAGGGGGATAATACAAGTCATAAGGCCTGGTGGTAGAATCCTTTATTTCCTCTTAAAGAGTACTTCGAGGTCTTCTAAAGGCTCACAGGTGTAGGTTGTCTCCTTCAGGGGTGGGTCACAGTTATTGCTCTCCTGTAATGAATGGGGGACAGGCTGCACCCTGGAGAGATGAACCCCACTATCCATTACAGCTGTCTTTATTGCTGAAGGGGTTGCTAGGATTACTGTAAAAGGGCCCTTACATTTAGGATTTAGTTGTTCACTGGGGGTTCCTTCCTTCCAGGTCTTAATTAGGACCTGGTCTCCTGGCTTTGTCTGTGCCCCCTGAGCATTACTGCCAGGGGAAGGCAAACTTGAGCTCTGTGTTCATTCAGTGCTGCTTGGAATTGGCTCAAATTGGTAATGTATTTTATAAGGCCTGCAGTCTCAGGATCTGTGAGCATATCTGTTGAAAGAAAAGGTCTGTCACACTGCATTACACAGGGGCTGAAGTTAAGCTTTGCCTTCGGGGCATTGCACACTCATAAGGGCAATGCGGAGCACAGAGACCCAGTGTGTAGAGGTTTCCTGGCATAATTTGGCAAGGGTGTGTTTTAGGGTTTGATTGGCCTTTTCTAGTTTTCCAGAATACTGTGCCCTCCAGGCAGAATGTAGAAGATATTGTTTTCCCAAGGTTTTTTCTATCTCCTGTGTTATATGGGAGGTAAAAGATGGCCCATTATCACTTTGAAGACTGCAGGGAGGCCAAACCTGGGAATGACTTCCTTGAGAAGAGCTTTAACCACCTCAGTGGACTTTTCTGTTCTAGTGGGATAAGCCTCTACCCATCCAGAAAAATTGTCTATGAAAACCAGCAGATGTTTTCTTCCCCAGCATGGAGGCATATGGGTGAAGTCAATTTTCCAGTCTTCCCCTGGACATGAACCCCTCCTCTGTACTGGCTCCAACAGCGGAGGCACCCATGGCCCTGAGGTGCTATTAGGCACAGAGAAGAAAGGCCCTACAAACCTGTTTAACTGTTTGTGCCAAACACCAGCCTGTAAATAGACAAATGACCATGGCCAAGTTTGCCCCTCTACCCAATGAAAGGCATCATGTAGAGCCTGGACAGCCTTCCACTGGATTGTCTGTGGGAGCAAGGGTCTGCCTTTCATCGCCCACCATGACCCTTGCTTATGGCCCCCTTCAATTTGGGCCTTCTCTTCTTCTGTTTGGGCATACTGTGGGGTCATTATTACTCTTTCAAGGCAAAGAGGACTAGGGTAGTTTGGTTAGAGGTCATTGTGTCACCAGTTTAGCCTCTCTGTCAGTGCTTTGATTTCCTCCTCCTGTAGGAGAATTTTCCTTTTGGTGCCTTCTGCACTGTATAACATCTACTTCCTCTGGTAGGTTAACTGCTTCTAATAGCTATAAAATCTCAGGCTGACGTTTAATGGGAAATTGTTTGGTGGTTAGTAATCCCCTCTATTTCCAGACAGCTGTGTGGGCATGAAGTATAAGGAAGGCATACTTAGAATCAGTATAGATAATTAGTCTTTTTCCTTTTTCCAAGATCAGGGCTCAGGTGAAGGCAATAACTTCAGCCTTTTGTGCCAAAGTCCCCTGAGCTAGGGGCTGAGCCTTTATAACTTGACTTTCACTCACTACCACATACCCCGCTCTTTTCTCCACATGGAGAATATAGCTACTCTCATCAGTAAACCAATTGTTTTCTGGGATTAGTAAGGGCTGGTCTTTAAATCCAGCCTACTTACATGTATTTGGGATATGGTACGTATGCAAGAATGGATGAGGCAGAGGCAGTTGGCATAAGATTTAATAGACTGAAGTCTTTAGAGTCACCCCAGGGTTATCTATGAGAATTGCCTGATTCTTGGTCAATCATTCCCCCATCATTAATAATCCCCCTTTGTTTCAAGGAATGACTTAACCTGGTGAAGGATCAACTCCTCCAAAAGCTGTCCCATAGTTATTTTGGCAGCTTCTTCTACCTATAACATCGTAGCTGCTGTTGCAACTGTTTTAGAAACTCTATGCTCTACTAGAAGCTCAAGCCCCTGCCATTTACCCTGCCTGCTTCTTGGGCCCACCTTCTATGAGATAACAGCAGTCTCACACCCCTCCCCCAGGGGCCAGAGGCAAATTAGGCTCCTAAAGTGACCAAAGGACTGTGTCCCATAACCAGCCAATCTAAATTAGCAGGACAGCATCCCTCACTTACATAAGAGGACCTGAATGGGGACCTGGGAGGGAGAAGGGTGGGAATTTAGGCTATATAAGGAGATCTTTTCCTTTGTTCTGGGAGACCCTGGCTTGGGAGTTATCTGCCCTCCAGTGCTCTCCTTGTTTGCAAGCAAAAAGATGCACTGTAACAGTGAACAAAGAGCGGCAACACTAAAATAAAGAGCTATAAAACTACAACACTGATGCTGGTCTTGGATTCCTCTGTGTGTTCACCCCACAACATTTGGGGGCTCATCCAGAATCTCTTCACTCAGGGGAACCAAGACCCACAGCTCTGGATGGCAGGCAGCATGGCGAGGTCCCCCCTAACCGGGAATTTGTACCTCAGCTTTGAGGCTGATCTCGCTGCAGACTCTGGGGAAAATTATCAGGAAGTTGTACCTTGGCTCCAGGGTCCTTTGCCCCCCCCCTGCCCGGGAGCTTCAATGGGCCTCAATTAGCATCAGAATCTTTGTTCAGTAGTTCGTTTCAGTAAACCTCCCATGGTAAGCTTTAGTTTGAGATCTCAATAACTTGTTTTGCATTTGGGTATCAGAGCTCTGATTTAAGGACTTTGTGGAAAGCTGGACACAACACTACTTCCCAAGTCCAGTACTCCCATGAAATGTCATTGGGTCCTTTGGTTTGGAATTGTTTGGAAATTTGTTGTGGCCACTTGTCTTTGTCTTTTGTGTGTTATTGGGTGTGCATATATGTTTTGTAGCTTTGTAT